GCCTATGCCTCTTCTTTATCGATAGAATTCCCATCATTTGAAGTCTCCGGCGAAGGAGACAAGGGTGAGGCACCGAACATGTTCTATCCTCAACCTCCATCCGTCATTAGTAATCTCACTTCGCTTTTCCTATTCACTAGTACACTGCGCGCTACAACTAGCAGCCCCTTTACTAGTAAGGGAAAACGCTAGCGCGCTAGCTAGCTACTTATAGCCCCTATTTTTTGATATGTTGGGATATTTAAAGAAGCGCAGGTTTGGAACCCTATACAAGGGGCTGCTTGCTGCTCGCCCCTATCTCTAAAGGGGCTTATGCACTCCACTCGCTGTCTACTAAACGACGAAGCCAGGAGCGGAAGGAGGGACTTGAACCCTCAACCTCAGCCTTGGCAAGGCTATGCTCTACCATTAAGCTATTTCCGCCAGCTACGGTAGTGGCGAAGCACTACTGAGCAATTCACGTATCACTTGATACGGACGACTTCTGTTTTTCCGCCGGACCACAGTCTTGACCTCCGATCGAGCTACGAACACGAGTAGGTAGGCGGCTAGGTAGGGTAGGGGGGAGGGGCGGCTGGGCTGCCTTTTCAATCAATCTCCGGCCGCTCAGTGCCGCTATTGATGCTAGTTGTAAGAAGTCTTGGTCTCGAGTCAAGCTGGGGCGTCATTTCACTCTCGTAACGGGAATGAGTGCACCGCAAGACCAGACAAGTTGCTCCCTCGCCTCGCAGCGGCGGCATCTGTCTTTTAAGTGAAGTCATTTCCTAAGACGGCTCCTCTTATTCTACGATAATCCAAACTGCAGCTCCACGAGTCTGCTCGGAACCGGTCGATTCCTGAGCCATTCGTTCTCCCCTCTCGGTTGGCCTTTGCCAGCCACTAGAGCAAGTAAGAGAACCTACAGTGAATGAACTTAAAGAACCGCAGATTTTGACCGGATTGTACACCTTTGTGTCTGGCTATGTATATGGATGTGCATAAAGAAGGCACGGGACATCTCTCTCCTTTTTTTGGGGGGAAGAGAGAGGGAAGAAGCTGCAGCGGCACCTCACGAACTTCTTACTGGGGCAGTACTATACTATACTATACTATACTATACTATACTATAGGCATTTTCGAGTGTTTGGATGCACGTGTTTTGTTCATATTCCTGCGCAGTTAAGAGAGAAATTGTCCCCAAGGCAACCACTTGTGTCTTTCTTGGCTATGCTCAGTCCGGGTATAGATGCTATGACGTGAAATCCAAGAGACTCGATGTATCCTTGAATGTTCTCTTTAATGGGGTCGCCTCATATTTTTCCTTAACCTAATTAATCAGCCCCGGGGGAGAATGATGATGGAGATGTATTGCGGCCTTCTCCTGTTCATCAACTCGAACGTCATTCTTCCGCAGTTGATGTTACGGATCAGCCTCACTCTTCAGGCCAGCAGCTTTGCTCAGCATCTTCTGCCGATTGTCAGCCTGTTCAGCTGACCTCAGAGGATTCCAGTCACCCGGCACAGCATGTTTCTTCTCGGCGGCGATTACAGTCTGTTTCCCAGGGTCAGACTACTCCAGAAGATCAGCAGTCTAGCCCAGTTGCTTCCCTTCCAGTCGCTTCCTCAGATTCTGGATCTCTCTCTCAGGTGTCGATCCTCTCAACTTTCTTATCCTGTTGAAGGATTTTTTATCTTATGAAGAGTTTTTCCCAAAAAGATCGAGCTTACCTCATGTCAGTTCAATCTTCTCATGAACCTGAAAAGCCATCCGGTCCAGGAGAACTATCAGCTGACATAGAGAAACCACATCCCGAACTTCCTCCATAGCAGGTAATCTGGTAAGTCAGAAATTATCCTCTTCAGTGACAAGTTTCGGATGACTTGAAAAATGGCTTCATCAATATAGTGTTTCCTCCGAAGAAAGAAGATTTTTGAAATAGGTTTCAGCTAAAGCACCAATAGTCAATTGATCTTCCACCCAAGTATTCTTTGAATCCTTGATTCTCCTAATGAGGCTTCTTTTCAATTTGTTGCTCGCAACCGCATGGAAAAATCTGGTGTTCTTGTCACCTTCGAAGGTGACAAGAACACCAGATTTTTTCCATGCGGTTGCGAGCAACAAATTGAAAAGAAGCCTCATTAGGAGAATCAAGGATTCAAAGAATACTTGGGTGGAAGATCAATTGACTATTGGTGCTTTAGCTGAAACCTATTTCAAAAATCTTCTTTCTTCGGAGGAACACTATATTGATGAAGCCATTTTTCAAGTCATTCCGAAACTTGTCACTGAAGAGGATAATTTCTGACTTACCAGATTACCTGCTATGGAGGAAGTTCGGGATGTGGTTTCTCTATGTCAGCTGATAGTTCTCCTGGACCGGATGGCTTTTCAGGTTCATGAGAAGATTGAACTGACATGAGGTAAGCTCGATCTTTTTGGGAAACTCTTCATAAGATAAAAATCCTTCAACAGGATAAGAAAGTTGAGAGGATCGACACCTGAGAGAGAGATCCAGAATCTGAGGAAGCGACTGGAAGGGAAGCAACTGGGCTAGACTGCTGATCTTCTGGAGTAGTCTGACCCTGGGAAACAGACTGTAATCGCCGCCGAGAAGAACCATGCTGTGCCGGGTGACTGGAATCCTCTGAGGTCAGCTGAACAGGCTGACAATCGGCAGAAGATGCTGAGCAAAGCTGCTGGCCTGAAGAGTGAGGCTGATCCGTAACATCAACTGCGGAAGAATGACGTTCGAGTTGATGAACAGGAGAAGGCCGCAATACATCTCCATCATCATTCTCCCCCGGGCTGATTAATTAGGTTAAGGAAATATGAGGCGACCCCATTAAAGAGAACATTCAAGGATACATCGAGTCTCTTGGATTTCACGTCATAGCATCTATACCCGGACTGAGCATAGCCAAGAAAGACACAAGTGGTTGCCTTGGGGACAATTTCTCTCTTAACTGCGCAGGAATATGAACAAAACACGTGCATCCAAACACTCGAAAATGCCTATAGTATAGTATAGTATAGTATAGTATAGTATAGTACTGCCCCAGTAAGAAGTTCGTGAGGTGCCGCTGCAGCTTCTTCCCTCTCTCTTCCCCCCAAAAAAAGGAGAGAGATGTCCCGTGCCTTCTTTATGCACATCCATATACATAGCCAGACACAAAGGTGTACAATCCGGTCAAAATCTGCGGTTCTTTAAGTTCATTCACTGTAGGTTCTCTTACTTGCTCTAGTGGCTGGCAAAGGCCAACCGAGAGGGGAGAACGAATGGCTCAGGAATCGACCGGTTCCGAGCAGACTCGTGGAGCTGCAGTTTGGATTATCGTAGAATAAGAGGAGCCGTCTTAGGAAATGACTTCACTTAAAAGACAGATGCCGCCGCTGCGAGGCGAGGGAGCAACTTGTCTGGTCTTGCGGTGCACTCATTCCCGTTACGAGAGTGAAATGACGCCCCAGCTTGACTCGAGACCAAGACTTCTTACAACTAGCATCAATAGCGGCACTGAGCGGCCGGAGATTGATTGAAAAGGCAGCCCAGCCGCCCCTCCCCCCTACCCTACCTAGCCGCCTACCTACTCGTGTTCGTAGCTCGATCGGAGGTCAAGACTGTGGTCCGGCGGAAAAACAGAAGTCGTCCGTATCAAGTGATACGTGAATTGCTCAGTAGTGCTTCGCCACTACCGTAGCTGGCGGAAATAGCTTAATGGTAGAGCATAGCCTTGCCAAGGCTGAGGTTGAGGGTTCAAGTCCCTCCTTCCGCTCCTGGCTTCGTCGTTTAGTAGACAGCGAGTGGAGTGCATAAGCCCCTTTAGAGATAGGGGCGAGCAGCAAGCAGCCCCTTGTATAGGGTTCCAAACCTGCGCTTCTTTAAATATCCCAACATATCAAAAAATAGGGGCTATAAGTAGCTAGCTAGCGCGCTAGCGTTTTCCCTTACTAGTAAAGGGGCTGCTAGTTGTAGCGCGCAGTGTACTAGTGAATAGGAAAAGCGAAGTGAGATTACTAATGACGGATGGAGGTTGAGGATAGAACATGTTCGGTGCCTCACCCTTGTCTCCTTCGCCGGAGACTTCAAATGATGGGAATTCTATCGATAA